TTCCTTCCATGCATGGCCTTTTAGGGCTTAAAAGGCCAAAATAGCATCTTAAAGCTTGTATGGGGCTTCCATGGTCATAATGTTTACACCTTTATGCCATGAAACCCCTTCTAAACTCCAGATCCGAAAGGTAGATCACTTGGGACGTCCATATCCTAAGGACTAGGCTTATTGGACCAAAAACCTCCATAAAGTAAAAAAAGAAAATCTATCAAGATACTAAGCAAGGTTGAGACTTGCATACCAGAAAATTAAGAGGATGAGGTGTTGTTTCTAGATCTACTAACTTCCTTCTGAATCTCTAAGCTTCTCTTCTTCTCAACAAGCTTCAAATGCACCAGGTTCACTCAAAAATGGCTCACAAGCATTAGGGTTTCAAGATCTACAGTTTGGATAATGGAGGCTAGAAATGAGGCCATAAGATGGGGATTAAGATGCTTAAATAGGGTACAAATCCCGGATTTAGGGTTTCCCAAACCCATACCATCTCGTCGAGTTGGTCCTCTCCAACTCGCCGAGTAGGTTTCTTAACCTGCATCCAAAAACTTATTTCTACTCGTCAAGTTGTCCCCCTTGGACACGATGAGTAGACCTTCAATTTGCTTAATATCTTTCCTTAATTAGCCTTCTGGTTTCCGGGTGTTACAAACGAATACATTAACAATTGCTTACATAGAGACTACACATTTGACTCTATTCATACGGGCACCTTAGAGACTATACCCTTTACTCTACTAACATTATGCATACAGAGACTATTCTACTAGCTCTTATATCCTAACATACATGGATATATACTGGAATACATAATATAGTGAGATAACTCACTTGGATAATTACTCAGACGATTAACAGTTATCTAGGTAATCCTACTGCAATCCAACATGCGGGTAACACGCCTAACAAGTTTTAACCTATAATTCTATAACTTATTATTCCCCATGACAATCTGGTAATGAAAGCTAGATCTTTCACTAATCCCAATGAATATCGACAGTTCTATTAAATAAGGATCAGTCAGGTAAGAAAGTTGGAAGTCAGGATCGTTTCAGCATATAGCTTTTCTGAAATCCAACAATAGAGACAACATGACCATTCTATACACCTCTCTCGTAAGTAGATCAATCAATATTATGATTAAAATTACTGATAAATCTTATTTACACATTCATAATAACTTACCACCTGGACACATGGCAGCTTTGGTGGCCACTCCAGCCAACTACCAAAGGCACGTTGCACCTTGGTATGGACGCAACGCGCCCTCCAGACCAACATATATATAGGAGGCTTTCCCTTTTTATTTCTTGCACCATTCTCACTTGAGAATTTCTCTTTCACCCTCGAGCATTTTAGCCCCTCGTGATTCGAATTCTCATTATGTAGCTTCAATAGTGAAACGTTAGAGGTTTCAGAAAGATAAAAAGTCAGCGATGAAGTTCTGCTCGGGGATATTTGGAGTATGCGAGTCAGGGAAGTTACACTTTCACTTAAGTATAACTGATATGAAGAATATATGTTTTCGTTATTATGAACATGTGTATTAGATTAATCATTAATCCTAGTTATTATATTGATTAATCTGCTTATGGGTTTGATGTCTAGGATTGACATGTTGGCCAAGGTTGTTGTATTTCATAAAAGCTATATGCTAAAATGATATTGCCTTCGGACTGTCCTGACTAGCTAATCCTTATTTGATAGTCATTCAATGTTATTGGAATTAGTGAAGGATCTAGCTTTTGTTATCTGATTTACATATATATATATATATATATATATATATATATATTTACATATATATATATATATATATATATATATATATATATATAGAGAGAGAGAGAGAGATAAAGAGAGATTAGTTATAATATTATAGGTTAATACGTGGTTAGCGAGCTTGTTTTCTAGTTGGATGGTTGTTAGTCGTCTGAGAAATTGTTCAGGCGAGTTATCTCACTATATTGTATGTTACAATAGATATCATATGTATGTTAGCATTTAGATATGTTGTAGTATTATGTTAAGTAAGTAGAATAACTTAGTAGATTGTATTCTATCATTAGATTGTTCGTTTCTCTATTATATCATGTTGTGAGTTGAGGGTGTACCAACTTTGTACTGAAGGCCAAGATACTCGAGGTAGACCAGCTTTACACTGAAGGCCAAATGGGCATACCAACTTTATGCTAAAGGCCAAATGGGCAGACCAGCCTTAGGCTGAAGGCCATTATTTGCATGTGTGGACTACAATAATCTTATATATAATTGGTTGTTAGTTTATATTATTTGGTTATATAATATGTCATGAGTCCAGATACACACGTTATTGGTAGGACGACAAAAGGTTGTGAACCACTATTTGTATGCATCGTATATGTATTATGATATATGGTATCTTGAGAAACTCACTAAGATTTGACTTACAATTGTTGATTAACTGTTTTTCATATACTCTTCATATTGTAGGAAGGGCAAGACTAGGGATGAGCTTTAGAACCGGAACCGATTTTCCTATATTATAAGAATCGGGAACCGGACCGCCGGTTCTAACGCCGATTCCAGTTCCGGTCCCGATTTTTCGGTTATTTTTTAAGCTAGATCCAGTTGAAATATTATAGATGATATGTTATCTTCCGGATCTTGTAAATGATTCAATATTTAACTAAATTATGACTTTTTACAATTTAAATTGAAGTACAAACACTAAATTACGTGATTAAAAAAATCAAGTAATTTCAACTTCATATGAGTGAGTTATGCTCATTTTAAAGCAGGACATATTCCAAAAAAAATGTTGAAATAGAAAATACGCAACATCGAGATGCTGTCTTCCGAGGTCTATAACTGATTCAATATCTAACCAAAATATGTGTGTTTTATAGTCTAAAATAAAGTATAAACACTAAATTACATGTTGGAAAAAATTGATTAATTCCGACATCATATGGATGAGTTATGCACATTTAAAAAAATGGGACAGATTCAAAAAAACTAAAATAAAATGTTGAAATAGAAAAAACGCAACATCGATATTCTTTCTTTCGGGGCATGTGTCTGATTCAATATCTAACCAAAGCATATGTTTGTACAGTAAAAAATAAATTACAAACTCCAAATTACATGTTGGAAAAAAATCAAATAATTCCGACATCATATGAGTGAGCTATGCACATTTTAAAAAATGGAAAAATTATCAAATCAGTTCCGGTTTTAGAATCGGGACCGGTTTCCATAAAAATGGAGAACCGATAACCGAACCTTGTTACCAATTCCGGTTCCGGTATGGTTCTGGTTCCGACGGTCCTAATGTTCATCCCTAGGCAAGACTTGACTATACACACACATCTGTATCGTGTTAAAGATTTCTGCATGTTCTATTTATACTATGATTTCAATAGCTTGACTATCACTATGTTATTTTTATCGTTTTAACTGTCATTGTGTTATTTTATTGCTCCGACCACCCTTGCTTTGTTTTTTCAGTCGGATTATAATCTTGTTATTTTTTTTTTTCATTCAGATTATCAATGTGTTATTTTTCCGTTCCGACTATCTCTATGTTTTTGTTTTGATTATATCTATGATATTTTTTCGCTTGAACTATCCTTTCATTCAGACTATTCATAAGTTAATATTTTTTTTCCCGTTTAGACTATCTAGTGTTATTATTTTGTTGCGATTTTAATAACCGTTAAATAATACTCACACCAAACATACATATAATTGTTTGTAATTTTTTTTTAAAAAAAATAATAATAAATAACACATGGTTAGTTTGAACAAAAAGAACAATATATGGTTAGTCTAAACGAAAAAACTACACAATGATAGTCACGAAAAAAATAACACATGAATAGATGGGTTAGTCCAAACGAAAAAACTAACACAATGATAGTCACGAAAAAAATAACACATGAATAGATGGGACGTTAAAAACAATATATAAAAAATATTGTTCACAAATAATTAAAAACAAAATGACATAGTTAATTAACATTATAATAACAATAATAATAATAATAATATTAAAGAAAAACGACAAAAGAAACAAAATAAAAAAATAACAAGCAAAAGACCAAAAAATCAAATCAAAAAGATAATTTAAATAAGGGTGAATTTAATTTATGTCAAATTAAGAGATATGCAAAACAACACCATTTATAAAACCTTTATAAAATATGAGACCGAAAGCATTATATAATCGTTATATTATGTACTATGGATGAACTCTTAATGATAGTAATAATTGATGGACTTTTTCTCATATAATGGTGATTTAAATGGCAATAAGAAACAAATCCGTATTTTGTTATCCATTTGTATGCAAGCATCTAATGGGAGTTGTGTGGTCATTATGCATTACGAAGAGATTGTCGAAACCCGAATTTCTTTTTTTCAAAAATATATATTTTTGAAACCTAAAGTAAAGAAAACACTAGTCAATACACAATAGGGATTATTTTTGCAGTTTCTTCTGGATATTTTAAAATATTTATTAAATTAATTACCAAAATATATTTAAAACTTGTCACTTAAATAAGCATCATCGATGATTAACTTACAATTGTATTAGACATATAAGCAACTTTTTACTTCAAATACATTAATAAGAAATACTAAAACACAAATCGTAAAGAACATATTTTGGACACGAGTTTATTTTAGATAACTAAATTTAAAATAATCACCAAAAGACTTGGACTTAATTTATTATCATTTAAAATAAAGGTAAATGCGTATTGTATTGTCAAAGTTATTAGTAAATTGATTGGATATGTTGATGTGATTGTGACCCCACAGACAAAGTGTGGACACACGTTATTAACGTTATTGTGTCTCAATGCATTTGTGTGTTGCTTGGTACCATGAATGTTACATTTTCTATCATACATGTTGCAACATTCTTAAGGAACACAAAATCCAAAATTGACTTATTTTTAACAAATAACATATTCATATAAATAAATAAAAAAATTGAGCAAATATAAGAGCTTGGTCTAAAATATCTCATCTTACCAAATGTACTTAACGAAGACAATGGTTTGTTTACAACAAATAAAATCCTATATATGTAGCTTGTCATGCACAAATTTGAATAATAAATGTTACAAAATTTAATTTTAGCGATTTGGTTAATTCACAAGAATGAAAAATACAAAATCAATATTATAAAAACTTACTCTAGAAAAGCTTTGCCATGGGTGACTCTCATGGCTTCCATCCAAACCATGAGGTTAGACCCTTAGGCGGCCTTTGGGGCACCCTCCCGTCCCCATGCTCCAATTTAGGGCTTTGTTGAATATTCTTCCGTTGTTGCTCTTGGATCTGCAAATCGTTAAGTATTTTAATTATTTGTTCTATGATGTTACACATGACAAAACATGATGCATTAGAAATATATTGATGTCAATGAACAAATATTTCACAATAATTGCAATTTTTGCTGGTTAGATCCCTACAACGATGGGATCTATATGAAAGATTAAAAGTGAGAAATTGAAGAGGGATCTATGGAGGATAAAGAGGACTCACGATATTATTCAATTAAAATAGGCTAACAAACATCGAGGTCTAATCTCTTCACATCTTGATATGATCAGAAATAATTCATAAGAACTGAAAACACAAAAGGGTAAATCTTGAATTAGCTTTGGGTTATACCTGTCTCTCTGGTGTTGATGGCATGACTGCAGATCTATAATCGTATTCTTCTTCCTCATCATCTAAGTGATCACTTACATCAGAAAACGATGATGATGACGAACTTGATTCACTGCTACTTTTCCCTTGATAACCTGGATTCAAAATAAAAGATGTTACATACGTACATTATCGATTTCAGAAAAACTATAAATCTACTTTTTTCATTACCTTTCTCACCCACATCGCTTGTTTTAACCTCATCATTGTGTACGTGCCACCCTAAAGTTGAAGAAGCCACATCAGAACTCTCATGGCGATGGCTGGATTCAAAATTACTTTTTTCTTTTCGTGTCTCACCCCCATTAACACTTGCTTTAAACTCATAAACTCTGCCATCTCTTGTAACATGATGGACCTTCACCATGTCGTCGTCATCAGAAGATCGGCTTCTTTGACTAACATTCTCACTTGCCCCAAAAGTATAATAACCCTCGTTTTGCCTGGATCCCCCTCCCTCATGGTTTGGTTGGAAGGATAAAGCATCTGATTGAAAAGTGGGCCCACTTGAGTCGTATGGAAGATCATAAGTGTTTGTTCTTGGCATCATATCCGAGGGAGTGGACTCCACAACAGTTTCATTGAAATCGTAAGGAACATCCATTGAATTCCTTCTTGTAGATGCATTGGAGTTCCTTCTTGTTGATGCAATGGGAGTGGAACTATAAGAAATATCAAGATTTATGTTCACCAAATTCTCCTCAGCTTGAATCCTCATGTTTCTTATTGCTTTTTGCCTAGCGACAAGATTCTCCATGTGTTGGTTTCTCTCTATTTCTGATTTTCCCAAATTTCTCAGATTCTTTTGGTCATCTTCTGTCCATGTACGTGCTTCTTCTTCATCATCGTCATCATGATCATCTGATTCAAGAGAATGATTGGAAGCAGCATATGCGTTAACATTCGACATTTGAGCATGGTGAGGAACTTCTGCTTCATTTCTATGAGCATGCAATGTCTGGGCATGATGATGAGGAGCTTCTGGTTCGTTTCTATGAACATGCAATGTCTGGGCATGATGATGAGGAACTTCTGGTTCATTTCTATGAGCATGCAACATGTGAGCATGATGAGGAACTTCTGGTTCGCTTCTATGAACATGCAACGTGTGAGCATGATGAGGAACTTCTGATTCGCTTCTGTGAGCATGCAATGTCTGAGCATGATGATGAGGAACTTGTGGTTCGCTTCTATGAACATGCAACATGTGATTATTTTGAGTAACTTGTGGTTGCAGAAGTGGAGGAAGATCATGAACCGATGGAAGGGCACCAACCATGGAAGCAGTTGGGAATGAGCTTTCAGAATGCTGAGATCCTGTCTCCCATCGTTTATGATCCTCTGTATTGTTGGCATGTGGAGGCTGAAACTGAGCACAACGGTTTACAAACATAATTTTCTCTCCACTCAAATCGATCTTTTGATTGTGATTGCACACTTCATTCTTTGCTTCTTCTTTTAACTTCTTATAAGCCATTAATACACTGTTATCAATTGAGTTTCTTCGTTTAATAATTTGTACCCTAGGATGATCATCAGTAAGATTCACGTTACTAACATCAGAATTTTTCTTCCCAATAGCATTTTCTCGCGCTTCACTTCTTACACCTTTCCCACCAATTCCAGTATCTTCGATAGCCCTAACTCGCAGATTGTGGATCTGATGATGATGATGATGATGATGATGTTGTTGTTGTTGTTGTTTTCCTTCTTTTCGGATTTTGGATGCATTTTGATGACCAAAAAGTAACAGAGTTCCAAGCAGAACAGCAGTGGATACGAGAATAGGAGAAGCATAAACCAAAAGAGAAAACAGCAGAGGGAATGATCGATAAAACCAAATCGTAAAAAGAATCAAAACAACCACCACGGGATGCTTCGAAGCTGATCTATAACAAGCTTTGATTGCAATGATAGCGTACTTTTTGTCCAATTCAACCCCCATCATAACTAGCTATCCTCCAAACTCGTCCTCGTTTTCCTAATTTTGACCTTAATCGTGAGCTGTTTCAGATATCCGTATATCAGATCATTTCAACAAGGGAAAAGATAGTACCTTACAGATTTTCTGAAGCCAAGGAAAAGGGAGAATGGAAAGGTGGCGATATATTCTCTGAATTGATTCACTCTGTTTTTTTCTTTTCGTGAAATTCACAGGCATGCATATGCTGCATATCAACGTTTGCAAAGTGAAATTGAAAGAACATCAGGGTGGCGTGAGCCGGTGGCCGGTGGCGGGAACCATTCACGTAATAAAAATTGGCGCCATTCGCAAGTACTTCCTGTTCTATAATGCTGGTAGCTGCTGCGTAAGAATTTGAAATACAGTAAAAATCCAGATACACAGCAGAAATATGAAATTCATAATGAGAGGGTTACAATAAGAAATCCAAATGCAAACAGCAATCAAATTAATCCAAGTCACAACATCGGATTAAAACAAAATCGATTAATGCAACAGAAAAGAATAATGGAAGTCACAGCATCAGATTTTTTTTTAAACGAACTTAACAGCCAAAGAATGTAGCAGAAATCAGAATAATATAATCCAAGTCACAAAATCATAATAAAAAACAAAATTGAATTTAACAGCTAAAGAAATCAAAATTTGTAGCGAAGTATGTGATTTTTTTTTTTTTTTTTTTTTTTTGAATTTTGCATCTGATTCAGAACAAAAAGTCGAATTTAACAGTCTAATTGTCTAAAATATCGAATTTCGTATTACAGGGTATAAAAATCGACATTTGCATCAGATTAAAAAAATTGAATTTAACAATCAAGAAGCTTTAAACATACACAGATTCATAAATCAATTGCGTGCTTTGCGTCTTTGAATTCTCAGATTCTCGAACTGATTTCAGAAAGATATATAAATCAGAGGGGTATTTAGAATCAGAAATAAGAATGGACTGAGGGATATTTGGCTGGATCAGAAATCAGAGGGAAAATCGATCAGGTCTCAACTCTCAATCGGTGCAAGAGTCAAGGGCTCAAGGCGACAAGGTCTCGACAACTAACTCGAGGGAAAAATCAATCAGAGGGAAAAAGAAATCGTCGGAATTGGGATCAGAAAGCAGAAAGGAAAAAGAAGAATGCAAATCGCATATTTTTTTCTCAACAACTCTCAACCTGAGCGCCAGTATCGGATCTAATAATTTTGTTGTCTTCTCATAAAATCCCGCCAGGATATCATATATCCCAATGGGTTGTTGCGTGTTTCAAAATTCAAACCATAAAATATGAATGGTTTTATATAAAGGAAAAAAGAAAACTTGTTGTGAATCACTTCTACAAAAGCTTAATTGTTTTTTGATTTTTTCGATTGTATTAAAACAGTATAATGATTTTTATGAATTATTATTATTATTATTATTATTATTATTATATATTAAGATTGTGAAAAGTTTAAACAGTTAGGATTTTTTACAACAATGGTCCCTGTATTATTGTTACTCTTTTATTGTTGGAAACTTTATTTTTTTTTTGGGATTTTGTGGAAAATTGAATCCCAAAGGGACTTCTGAACAAGGATTCGGCATAATTGGTCCCTTTCATTTGCTGTAAATCGAAATTGAAATGGCAAGTTGGTCCTTGCAAGAATAACAAATGTTCAGTGCATGGGTCGTCTACATCACTCTTCTCTTTCACAACCACTGTTCATTCAGCAAACTTGTCATCTTCTCTTTTACCACCGTTGCCACCTCCTATAGGTAGTTCACCGCCTCAAATACTGGATACCTTTAATCCTCATCTCCACCTCCTTAGTCGACTAACACTTCACCATCGCTCCTTTAATGTTGACCAAATATTTTTGTTGGTTCGATTTCACCCTTCCAGTCGGGCCTGATAACCGTCCGGTTTCAAGATCACAGATTTCTTTCCATCAAAAGGTTTGTAACATCCCGAGTCCAAGAGTGCAAGTTCGGGGTTCAAAGTGTAAATTTGAAGGGCAACTCGGCGAGTCCATGGGCTGACTCGGCGAGTAGGGTCGCGACTCAGGTCGCGTGTTAAGTGGCCAACTCGGCGAGTCCAAGGCTGGACTCGGCAAGTAGGCGCTGAGTGAAGAAAACCCTAATTTCGGGGGATGAGCCCTATATAAAGGACATTATACCCTCTCCCCAGCCTCCTTACCTTCCCTTGAAGTCCAGAAAACCCTAGAAGCGTGATTGTGAAGGATTTGAGTGCATTTGAGCTTTGGAAAAGTGATTTGGAGGAAGATCTTGGAGAGTTAGGAGGCTTGGAGCAAGGGGCTTTGCTTGGATTCAGATTTCTTTGTTGTTGGGGGCTTCCTTTTGAGGTATTATCTCGTTTTTGGGCTGCTATTCATCTAGATTCATCATTTTTAGGATGTATGGGAAGTTTAGCTTGTGGTATTTTGAGTTTGAAGGATAGATATGAGGTTGCCACCTCAGATCTGGAATGGAGAAGGTCTAGAGTGCATTAAAGTCCCTGTTCTTGAGTGTTTGGTGAAGCTATCTTGTCCCAAACCCTAGCCCTAGAGTGTAAAATGCCTAGATCTCTTTGGATTCACGTAAAGTTTGCCACTTTACATGATGGATGGGTTGTATAAGGGGAGATCTATGTTTTGAATCATCTGCATGGCCTGAAAAGCTTCTGCATGGGTTAAGATCTAGAGGCACTCGGTGAGTCACAAAGGTGTACTCGGCGAGTTGCTTAAAGATGGACTGAAACTCGACGAGTTGGAAGAACAACTCGGCGAGTAGGTTGAAGATGGCCTTGGACTCGGCGAGTCTGTTCTTGGACTCGGCGAGTCTGGTCATGAGGTCCAAACTTCTTCTGGTGAAGCCATGAATCAGTGAGTCAAGGGAGGATTCGGTGAGTGAGTGCGAGGGGACTCAGAGTTGTGAGACTTGACGAGTCTCTGGGTGACTCGGCGAGTTGAGTCGCGGATTGGGGAAGTTTTGAGCATGGGGACTCGACGAGTCATTAGGTTGACTCGGCAAGTAGAGTCAGTCAGGAGGATGACTTTGACTTTGACTTCGACCAAGGGTTTACCAGTTGACTTCCAGGAGCATTTTGGTAATTGTTGGCTTTTGTTTTGAGTTCAGTGTTGGTGTTAGCCAGTGGTGGAGATCGTGTCAGCGGTTGGAGCATCTCGGTCTTATCTTTCCAGTCAGCAGTTGCGAGGTGAGTTATCCTCACTATATCAACAGGGTCTAAGGCACCAAGGTCGGCCCTTTATCGGAATGTAATCCGGGTATTGTTGTTATGTTGTTGTTTACTATGTTTGCATCCTGGTAGTTAGGATGGTATTCGTTAGAGACCTGGTTAAGGTCGGTATCCTGGTAAATAGGGTGACTCTAGTCTAGTGGCCGATTAGGTCGGTATCCTGCTTAGAGTATGTTGTGTTACATGATCTGCTAGATCGGTTTGATTGATTGTGAATTGTTATATGATTGTATGTTTATGTGCACATGATTGCTTGACTGGGGTTTGGGTTGAGGCGGGACCTGCTTTGTGCTGTAGGCCAACATACCCAGGGGGACCGGTTATTCCGAAGGCCCAACGAGCGGTCCGGATAGGCTGTAGGCCCCACGAGGGCGGACCAGACGTGCCGAGGCTCGGAGAGTGGACCAGGCCGACTGAAGGCCCGGTGCGGGGGGACCAGTCATACTATAGACTCAGAGAGTGGACCAGGTGGATTGAAGGCCCGGTGCGGGCGGACCAACCACACTGCAAACTTGATGTATATGGCTAGATGCGGAGGGTGGACCAGGTGGACTGTTGGCTGGTGCGGCGGACCAGTCACACAGTAGACCCTATATGCATGGCTGTTCTGTGATTCAATATGATATAGTATGTTATGTGTGTGGTATATGTGGTTGGTATTTTGGGGGTATCTCACTAAGCTTTCGGGCTTACAGTTGTGGTTTTATGTTTTTTAGGTTCTTCAGGAGACAGTGGCAAGGCAAAGGCGGGATCGTACCGCTCCTCGTGTTTGTGTTTTATGATGTGGTTCTGGGAATACTCTGATAATAAATGTATTGAAAACCTTTTTGTAATAACATTATTAAAATGGGTTGTTTTTTAAAAGTTAAAAATTTGTTGAAATTTTCGGTCGTTACAAGTTGGTATCAGAGCCTTGGTTTGAGTAAATTGCAGGAACATTCGTGTGAATCCAGTCTCAAATCAGGGAGAGTTTTTAAAAGAGAATTTAAAATGGTTTTCAAATTAAGTAAAAGGAGGATGCGGAGGTACGATTAGCCGGAGCCAGTAAGTAACCCCAAAATACCATACATGATATTTGTTTTCGAACTTTGATAGAACATCATGCTAGTACTAGGCTAGGGATCTTCAGGATTTCATGATAATGTTGCCTGTTTTATGATGCCTACTAGCCCAGGGTTTCCCTCAGTATGAGATATCCAGTGTTCCTCTAGGAGTGAGGATTGAGCGTCTGTTATGTATATTTGTCACTAGGGTGTTGTGGTAGTACTTCATACAAATATGGGTAGGTGTGGAAGGTAGTATGGGCCCGTACTACTGAAAGCACAGGACCCATACGCGTATCAGGGAAACCATGACCTCTAGGGTTGAGTTGGGAGTTGGTTCTCGGGTTAGTGGGAAGTATCTGAGATTTTGTGGTGTTTTTCAGTATGTTGATCACGAGGCATGCTGGGAGCGGATCCGGGTCAGGATCGGGAGCAGGAGAGGGAGGTCAGGGCGGGTCAGTACCACCCGAGGTTATTGGTCAGATGAGCACAGGCGAGTTGTGTAACGCCCGTAGATCCGGGCTAGTCAATTTAGAGGCAATAAGGATCGAAAACAACTTTTCGACAAAAGATTATTTAGAATAAATAATCTTAACCAAGTTTTAGTATATGTTACAAGGTTTCCGTACATATAAAGAACGCCGAAATCTGAGTTATAACGAAGAAGTTATGACCCAGTTAAGTTTCGCGACGGAACCAACACGATACCGAGAAACGTAAATAGTTAATTTACGATAGAGCGAGATTTAGCCTTAGCAATCTAAACGAAAGTCGTAGAATATGTTAAACTAAGAACATCGATAAAAAGAACGCCCAAATCTAACTTTGTATGAAGAAGTTGTGATTTTTCGAAGTTTTGGATTAACAGTGTACAGCCCGAAATTCGAATGTTAGATCGGGTGATTTTTAGCTGACACGACCTAAACAAGAATCGAAGATCTCATTAAGAGTAGTGTAATGAGAAAAAGATGGGCAAAAATGGACATCGGATGAAGAAGTTATGAGAATTTAACGGACCAATCCTGTCTCGGTCTGTTAATAATATAAAATTTAAAATAGAGCCAAAATTAGTCGACAGAGTCTAAACGAAAGTTGTAGAGTACGTTCCCACCTTCTTGTGGATATAAAGAACGTCGAAAATGGAGGTCGTACACGAAAGTTACGAATTTTTAAAGTTTAAACTCGAATTTACGAAGCTATTGCTAGATGCGATGAGGTGGCCAAATCTCAGCCATCGCTTGCTGAGCACGGTCTCGCTTCAGATGAAGGAAGCGTCACCCTCACATTATGCCCAACATCCAAGCTTGGAATGCGCCGCGTACGTGAACCCCTCCTCGGTCCAGCTTCGCCCACGTCGCCCCAGCAGATCATCGACATGTCAGTACGACATTGGAAGTACGCGCTGCGTACTTCGGATCTACGCCCCGCATAGTGAAGACCTCGCAGCTATAAAAGGGGGCCGAGGCTGCCCGCATTTTTCACACCAAAATCCTTTCTCTCTCTAATTTCTTTCTCTCTCTAGCCTATTTTGAGCCCCCTAAGCCCTAGTTAAACCCTTAGCTCCCAAGGGAAGCCCCGAGGCTCCCGAAGTCCTGAGAAAAAGGGGTCTTTCGGTTTCGAAACGTTGCTCCAAATAAAGTTCCGGTTTTCGATAAAATTCGCTGTAAGTGTGCTACGCTTACGCAACTTTTAATATAGCTTTCAAATAATTATAGGAATGTTATTAGGTCCTTAAAATAATTGTTTGGGATATTATTATGAGTTATATTGAGTGTTATTTAACGCTTATACAATAATCATAATAGCTAGACTATTAATTAGTCACAGTTAACGTCAGACTAAACCCTAGTCATATTGATACTAGGTTTTGTCAAGGAAATTGTTTTAAGAGCAACGAAGTGCTGTCCGAGTACCGACTCACCACCTAATCAAGTGAGTGCATAGTCCCTTTCATCTTACACATAAATATGAAGTATTTTAA